TCATATAATTTCTGATTTGCATAATTAGTTTTCAGCTAAGTAATTTCGAATTATATTTAATGTGTTACAAAACTCACAGCACATGGAAGTTCTTTCTAAGCTTCCTTTGATTATTATTAGAGGATGCTTATGCACGTAATCATTCCATATTTGGAATTCGCATTTCCTAACATGGTAGGATGAAAATACCCTGTAAAATACTGCAAAATTATGCCACACTGTAACTTATGGTGTTACGTTGACAGATGTATAATAATTCATATTATACTCATTGCATGATCTGATCTAATCTGACAAATTCTGTTGTTGGAGGTTGACAGAACACAATATTCTAGTTGGTGAAAGTTTATGTTAAATGTTTACTAATCTGTGTTCAGTAATTTAATTAATTTCTATTTCTCCCAAATATTCAATTTCTCACTGAATATTTAATTCAAACTGTCTGAAATCCATAAATATTTTAATGGTCTTCAAACTAAACTTTCTTTAATTGAAGAAGGATAAAAATATTGAATGTTTATGGAATGGGGATCCTGTATTTGAGAAGATTAAAAACAAACACACAAATCACGATTGTAATCTTTATTGTGGTGTTTAAAACCTATGTTAATTGTGTAGTGATAGTCATTTCTATGATGAAATGAAAAATACCCGGAACTACACTTATATAAAGAACCAAATATTGTTGGGTAATAATTCAGTCATCCTTTATGGATGCTTTAATTCTTGTCTAATTATTAGTTTTGACATTCTTTGCAGTTTAAAACGTCAAGTGATTGCCATTAATAAACTCTCAAAGCATGGGATGTATTTCTGGGATTATGGGAATGCTTTTCTGTTAGAAGCTGGTAGAGCAGGTAATATTTAATCTAGTTTTGGCAAATAACATTATAATTGCCCTGGTTGTGGCAATCGTTTCAGTTTCCCATTTGATTGGTTTGTTTGTTCGTTCCAATTGTATTTTCTTCCTGCACTAAATAGTTTTCCAATGGACATGGATTCACAAAGATTCACCTACATTCTGAATTACTGTACATTGAATTTGTTGAATACTCAAATATTGTCAATAATTTTTAAATATCTATACTATTAAATATTTTACATAATAGTCCCAAGAGAATGATAAATCTTTAGGAATGTTTTACAGAGTATATTTTCCACTGTATTTTGGTTAGTAATTTGGTATCTATTTTACTGATACTTTTAACCATTTTGTTAATTTTGTAGGTGCAGAAGTGAAAAAGGAAGGTGAACCAGAAAAGTTTAGATATCCATCTTATGTCCAGGATATAATGGGGTGAGTATTTAGTAGTTCATTTTATAAATTTACTGAATTGACTTTTCAGGAGCTAACTCAACTAATGAAAGTGGGATTACTCATTACTACCAGTATAAACTTGGACTACCAGTATCACCCAGGATTACCATTATGACCTATGACTGCCAGCATCAACTTGAATTTTTTTGGATTACCACCATTACCAAGGACTCCCAGTTTCACCAAGGACTACTAGTTTCACCAAAGACTACCACCATCACCTAGAACTACAACCATCACCTAGAACTACAACCATCACCTAGAGCTACAACCATCACCTAGAACTACCACCATCACCTAGGACTACCACCTTCACCTAGAGCTACCACCATCACCTAAGACTACCACCATCACCTAGGACTACCACCATCAATTAGAGCTACCACCATCACCTAAGACTACCACCATCACCTAGAGCTACAACCATCACCTAGAACTACAACCATCACAAATGACTACCACCATCACCTAGAACTACCACCATCACCTAGAGCTACAACCATCACCTAGAACTACAACCACCACCTAGGACTACCACCATCACCTAGGACTACCACCATCACCTAGGACTACAATCATTACCTAGGACTACAACCATCACCTAGGACTACAACCATCACCTAGAACTACAACCATCACCTAGGACTACAATCATCACCTAGGACTACAACCATCACCTAAGACTACCACCATCACCTAGGACTACCACCATCACCTAGGACTACCACCATCACCTAGGACTACCACCATCACCTAGAAATACCACCATCACCTAGAGCTACCACCATCACCTAGAACTACAACCATCACCCAGAACTACCACCATCACCCAGGACTACCACCATCACCTAGGACTACCACCATCACCTAGAACTAACACCATCACCTAGAACTAACACCATCACCTAGAACTAACACCATTACCTAGAAATACAACCATCACCTAGGACTACAACCATCACCTAGAAATACAACCATCACCCAGGACTGCCAATACCATATAAACTTCCAGTTATACCTAGGACAGTATCACATGGGACTACAAAGTTAAGCTCTTGTCTCCCTAGGACTCCCTCTTTTAACACCATAGATTTTATTTTTATCAACAAATTTCACTCGCCAATACTTTTCACATTTGGTCCCCTAAAGTGTTTTTTATTTAGAAATAGCAGTAAACTTGTATGTATTGTATTGTATTGTTGAATTAAAATGCATTCATACTTACACATACATATCTCAAATATGTTTTTAATTAGTTGCAAACTTTGTAGGCATGAAATGTACTGATGATTATTCTTAATTATAACATCTTCTTCTAGTGATATATTTTCTCTTGGATTTGGTCCATTCCGATGGGTGTGTACATCAGCAGATCCAAATGATTTAGAAACAACAGATAAACTAGCTACAGCAGTATTAGAAGATGTCATCAAAGAAGGAGGTATGTGTCCTTTAATTCCTCCATGTAGGAACTGTTTTATAATACATGTACTTCTATTGAAAACAATATAATTTATCCATCAGGTAAAACCTGTTGGAAAGTGTTATGGATGCAATTCAGATTTACATCACATTTGAACCCTTTTTTCTAAACACATTAGCTTAATGCAAATGATGATCACGCTGGCGCAAATCCCTCGTAATCTTCTTGCTGGCATATTGCACTGTATTATATTCTTGTCACAAAATTATGACAAGAAAAGATTATTAAGTTTAATTAAGTATTATGTTCAGTTGCGTAATCAAAATGAGCAAATTTAAGATACAAAATGTAATGTCAAAATGTCTTTCTTCCTTCCACCCTAAAATAGCTATCTGAGGTATCTATAGTGACCCGTATACTGGTAAACTTTGATGGCACAGTTTGAGGTCAAGTTTTACATACCAATTAAAGGTTCCATTATAGGGTTAAAATTATGAAATATTATGTAACAGGTTAATCTAAAGTGCAGTACTGCTTAGTCTGATTGACATTATACAGGATTATAATTTGACAAGGTTTATTTTTTGTGGTATATTTTAGTAACAGAGAAAACCAAGCAGCAATACCAGGACAATATTGTATGGATAAAAGAAGCTGGTAGACATGGTTTGGTGAGTACTGTGAATTTTGCTATTTTTGCTGCTAATAAATCCACTAAATTAATCCACTAATTTAAGTGAACATGAAAGGAAAACTCATTGTTTCACTGACAAGTTACCAATTGTGAATATGCTTAAAAAAGTGAAGTTAAATACTTAAATGCATTTTTAGTTCATTGAAATTACAAAGCTGTCACAGTGGTAAATGAAAATAAAATAAAAATTATGAATCAGGTGATAATTGTTTAATCACATGACCAACTTAAAATCATAATTTTATGGAACCAGCTCACAAATCATACAAATATCAGTCCCTGTTGGCAAGAGAAATTGTGTTTTGGGTTGCATTCATTGTGAATCTGCCTGACGTCATTGGTCTTGCATGCCTTGACTGAAGTTTGTAAAAAGGCATGTGGTAAATGGAAGAAATATGCATGTTGATTTGTTCTTTGTTTTCTTTCATAGATTTTTGACTGACTGGTGACCATTTTAGTCCCAAAAAATCAACATTTGAATATGTCATCAATTTTTTCTCAGGCATACCTTGATCGATTTCATTCTAACTTGCTATTGACATCACTCATAGTGGGGTACTGATGCACATCATTTTGTTTCACGGTTAGACTGGTGGCCATTTTGTTTTTATACAGTTTCTGAGATGCGCAAAAGCAAGACATAATGGATTGAATGTTGTCCTTAGTAAGGTTAAATTGGATTTTGGGGTTTTGATTTAACAGAAATTCAGCTCTCTCCTTGAGCTAACACAGATTGTGGTTGTTTATCATGATCTTGTACAAGACTCATACAAATGCCTTATCCATTCTTGGTGACGGTGTATTGAACAAACTTTCACAAAATGGCGCCATGGAAAAAAATAGCCTTACCCGCAGCAGCAGGGTGAGACCTGACACTGTCTATAGTGGGCTTCATAATGTCCATAGGAGCAGGTAACTTCAGGATAGTTTGAGCTGCCAAGTCTCTAGCAACCATTTGAACATTCCGACTGCATGCCTCAGCTGTAGTCACGAGGCACCAGTTTTTCCTCAAAATACTCAGACTGCATCATGCAGAAAAAACAGTCTGTCAGAGTCTGTCATAAACTGCTCCATATGCATAATTACTCAGTTTTCAGGTATACCAGTTGGTGTCACTATCTAGGAAATATTTCTACTGGTGGAGTAACAAATTCAGAGAGTGCACGATTGTTGGCCAAATGTTTGAGAGAAATGCTGGAAAACTCCATGAAACAAACCTGCACATAATGACTACCTTTTAAGCAGTCCCAATGTAATTTACATGTAAAGTGACCTTTACATAGAAGCCACCTGGCCAATGTGATGAGTGACTGCTCTTTTGGCAATGGTTTGATGTAAGATACATATGTTCAATGTTTTACATCAGTCTTTACAAGGCAAACAAATATATTGTATCTGTTGACAATTTGTCAATTTGTTTGAGAAATTATTGTCATTTTTTATTCATGAATGAACACCTGTGTTCTTTATAAAAACACCTTGGGTGGTTGCTATACACAGATTTGACTGTATTTACAGATAATATTCAAGATATAACAGTGCAATTTGCATTGTTTTTTTAAAAAATAAATGAGTTAATACTTTCCGTCTCTGTAACTCAGATATAAAGATACTCATTTGTATTTTAGGTTGTAGGTTCACAGGCTCGCATTCTGTATTCAGACCAGAGAGGGCGCATAGCTATTGCAACAGCCTTCAATAAAGCAGTCCATGACAAGAAGTTGAAAGGTCCAGTTGTGATTAGTCGGGATCATCATGACGTGAGTGGTACAGATAGTCCATTTAGAGAAACATCAAATATATATGATGGGTCTGCATTCTGCGCTGGTAAGTCAAACTCACATTTTTGCAAGACAATTGTAGTACTGGTGAATAATTATACATCTTGATAAATTATTAGCTGTTTCTAACTACAACATTATTTTTGAGACATCTATGCTTACATCTAGTGATGAAATTTGCTCTGTTAGAAGTACCGGTACATGTACATACAAAAGACTAGTTAAAAATGTTTTTATTTACCATCAAAACTTTTCAATATTTAGGTTATTACAGATACAATTGTAGCAGTTTGTTCTGGCCTGTCGCTGAGTGAGGACATTGATTATTTATACAAAACTGTAGCAAAAAATAGTAGACTCCAAGAGATGCATGTATTTTGTTATCTGAACATCAACAGCACACTTTGATACACAGTGACATTGAGAGAGAGATGCAAATCATTGTAGCTAGGCCCAGCATTAAGCCCAGCATTAGTTAAAAATGTTTTTATTTACCATCAAAACTTTTCAATATTTAGGTTATTACAGATACAATTGTAGCAGTTTGTTCTGGCCTGTCGCTGAGTGAGGACATTGATTATTTATACAAAACTGTAGCAAAAAATAGTAGACTCCAAGAGATGCATGTATTTTGTTATCTGAACATCAACAGCACACGTTGATACACAGTGACATTGAGAGAGAGATGCAAATCATTGTAGCTAGGCCCAGCATTAAGCCCCCCAAACCTACAGTTTGTTACCATGTTTTTGGTGGTAAAAAAAACTGTATATATGATACTGCTGCTCGCACAAGTCAGTTGGAAATCCAAGAAACATGAAAATTGCTGTATAAATAAAACAAGAATTAACTCCTCCCCAATGGTATTACAGTGAGTAGTACTGAACACAATCACCCGTGAAATTTTACAAACAAGATGTGTCCCTCAGTGACGGAATCTCAGAGGGTTTGGCCTATAATGTTGATACACTACATCAAATGTTATAGATAAAAATGTAGTATTGGTCAAATGAATTGCAGTAGCTTTGGGTGATCTTCTGAATTTAGTAATTTTATCTAAATTCAGGTTTGGACAATCATGATAGTGTCTGGTACATTTTGGGGGAGGATGGTAGGAAAAGATGAAAGGAGGTGAAGTGATAATCATACTTAATGTGAGAAAGGTAGGGAAGGTGGCAACACAAATCTAGTCCGTCCCTGTCACCCCCTAAAAAAAATTAGCATGTACCTTGGGACAGTGTGTAGCACATCAGGTCAAACAATTATTTATTGTGTGTCAGTGGATTTTGATGTTTTAACACAAAAATAATACCAGTCACCGCATCCATGTTCATCTGTGCATTGTAGGAAAACTCAAACATTCTCAAAAACAGTTTGATTCATTAAAATGAGTTTTATCGAATATGAAACTATTAAACTAGAAATGTAATTAACCAGGAATCATTTGCACAGTGACAACTGCTACAATGTATCAGTAAGTCATAACATATGTTGCAGTCAGCATTTATTGACTTGAAGCAGGTTGATCGGTTTTGATTGTAAAATTCACCAAAACTTGTTTTTAGCTTACATGTATCTCTGTTTGAGGTGTGACATGTTCTCAGTTTATCAACCGTATATTGTAGATATGGCAGTACAAAATGTCATTGGTGATTCATTTCGTGGTGCGACTTGGGTTTCGTTACATAATGGTGGTGGTGTCGGATGGGGAGAGGTCATCAATGGTGGATTTGGATTAGTATTAGATGGCACAGAAGAAGCTGGTGAAAGAGCCAAGCGTATGTTAGCTTGGGATGTCTCAAATGGGGTAAGTACTGCTTTGTTTTCTGCAAAGGCTTAATATATGCATTCTATTTTTTATTTGTAGGAATCAAATGTGGTATATAAAAAAAGATTTCATCTTTAAAAAACAATGTAAATGGGTCAGATTGCTTTGATATTTGATATGAAGATAGTACCTAATTAAGAAAGTTTAATAGTCACATATTTGAAGATACTTGAAAAAGACCTTTATGTTGGTGAAAATTGTTATTTACTAGTAGCTGTTTTTTTTAACTGGACCCAGATTACATTTTGATTTATATACTGTAGAATACTTTATTTTCGCTTGGAATTTATTTTCGCTATTTTCGCTGAAATGATAATTCCGTGAAAATATCTAATTGTGTGTGTGTGTTTCAATGGCTGTTATACATGTCTATCAGACATAAACACCAAAGCTACTTTAACAATTCATTTTACATTCAATTCCATATTGCTATGTATTCCAGAAAAGCATTAGTTGACGTGTAGTATGCATTTGAATTTGATTGTATTATATTTTACACACATGGTGCGTGCATGCACAAGGGGAAGGGCACTCCAATTCAGACCTGGTACGCATGCTGAAATATAGCTTTTCAAAAAAGCCGCTAAACACGTACTTATTTTTGTGAAATTATACCCCTTTCCAAGTGCAGAAAATAGATACCCTATATACACACTAAAATCATACTGTTTCCAAGTTGAGGTAACATGAATTCATGAGATGCCTTTTTTTCACGCTTTATTTATATATTCTAAGTTACATCCGGTATACGCGTCAAATAACTAAATAACACCCCTTTTACGCGTTTTTTTTACTTCTGCTTGTGTACCAATTTTTATTCAGAGGACCCTCCCCCACTGGGGGTTGGTCCCATGTAACTGTAAACACAATGTGATAATCGGCACCATTATCAAACAAAATAAATCTTCTCATTAGTATAAAACTATTTTCTCATCTTCTAGGTTGCTCGGCGCTCATGGTGTGGTAACAGAAATGCTGAAGAGACGATAATTTCAGCAATGGACCAAAATAAAAAATTGAAAGTTACAATGCCGCATCATGTAGAAGATGACACATTACTGGAAAGAGCACTGCAAAAGTAATCAAGAGTACAAGATTAGTGGATCTGATGATGAAAGCTGGGTTTAAGAGATTTACCATTGCTTTGACTACTTCAAGATTCAGCTGCTTTCTTCAAATATAGCTTGTTTGATGTGTTCCTTTCAGTTTTCAGTTTTAATTGCCATAAAACATTAAAAGTTATCAGAAATGTCATGTCAGGCCACAGTTGCAAGGTAGGTTTATGGATGCCTGAAAAACTACATCGAATAGTTGCTTTGGTTATGCCATTTCTTTCCTAATAAAATAACAAAAGGTTGTTGCTGAGTTTTTCTGTCTATTAACAATATCAGTATTGGTATTTATGATGCCAGAGTTTTACAAAACTTAGTATGGTCCTCTCATTCATTCCAAAAAGGTGATTTCAAAGTTACCACTTTAAAGTCTATGTAATCTGTCTTTACTCAAAATAAGTTTGTCTTATGGGACCCATACACCCATGTAAAATGTTTAATCTAACTAGTTCCAATTATGCAATGATCTCCAAACCAATCAGCAACTTACAGGTAGCTGGAAATGTTGCTGTTTTGATATATACAAAACAATACGTCTATACTGTCAGAATGCTTTGATAGCAGCATAGTATATAATTGAAAAAAAAAGAATAAACAATTTACTAACTTTACATAGCTTTTAGTGTTTTTTTGCCATCGTAGCTGTTTACATAGGTGATTATCTGCCGTCGTCCATCAACAATTGCATTTTTGACTTCTTGAAAATTACCGGTATTGACTCAATTTCTTTGATCCTTGGTACATAGGTGCCTAGGGTGGACCTTGTCAGATTTGCTCATTTTATGATGATATCTTTAATTCTCTACTTTTGGTGAATATTTTTGGTAAAAAATGCTATTTTCAAATTCTTGACTTTTTTTATGTGGATGAAAACAAAGTGGAAATGAAAGCCACAAGCGGCATTAGCGGGGCGCAAGCTATTAGACACCTATTCAATAATTAATGAGGTCATTGGATTGCCATAAGGGTAGTTTCAATGATCAGTACCACAAGATTAAAATGCAGTTGGTAACATTTATCTGGTTTGGTTATCAAACTATGGTTTTCTGAATATATAATGAACTAAATGCATATAAATGAGGAAACATGATCATATATATCTGTATCTTTTGTTTGATGCCTTCATTGTGGCACTGGTTGCATGGCCAGTTCTGCAACTGTTTCAGATATGACATGTTTATGTATATTAATGAGTTTACATGACCATATATGGTCATCTGTTATTTTCCATTCGGGTAAAAAAAATGCATCTTGGTATGAAGAATGTTTTTACCATTTCGTTGCGAGCGAGAGGTTAAGTGAGTGAAATGAGTAATGAACTGACAAGTTTCAATGAAATCTGATGAGTGGTACTTAAGATAAGTGTTCTTAAATAACACAATCTGCAAAAATGTGGTTATTTGACCTCTTTAATATGCATAATGAAGGCATCGAACAAGAGATATGACCGTATTACCTCATTAATGAGCTTAACTGTAAAGTACTGTGCAAGATAGAGACAAGCAGCAAATACTATAATGGTGCTCAGACAAGGTATGACCAAAATAGTCGTATATTCATACCACAACCCCCAGGATCTCTGCTTGCAGTTGTACTTTTTTAATCCTTTTGTACTCAAATACCTTAGCATGAATTGTTATGTACATCTTGTGTTGTATTTTTTTTCACTGTTGCCACAGATTCTGTCCCTTGTGCTTTCTGATTTCCAAAACTTAAAAAAAAAAATACCAAGCAAATAAATACAATATGAACAAACTTTTTAATTTTTATATATTTATTGGATTCATAGCAGTAAATGTTACATGAGTCAATAATACGTACATGTATAATGTTTTGTTACATAAAATTGTCACAATGAGTGAGCATAAAATAAATGCAAAAATGTCCTTGGCATATTTATATATTCCAATAGCACAGTTTTTGTTCAGCCTGACATGGTCGCGCCCTCTGCGGTGCTCCAAACTTAACACGTGCCTGAAAGAACGATGTAGTTTTTCACTTCCCTAACGATTTTTTTTTGTCTGTATCAATCAATACTGCAGGAACGTCAGGGATGTGCAGTCATGACTTCTGTCACTATCTAATTAATACCAGTACCGCCCCTTTAATATTGTAAAACAAGCGAACAGTTCTAGTAGATATTTGGCATTATATCCATTAAAGATACTAAACAGTTATTGAACAACAAGTTAAATGGCGCCCTCTATTGATAACATCTACCAAAATATCAAAGAAAAAGCGAGAAAAGGTAAAAAAAATACATCATGAGATTCAAATTACTCTATCTTCCACCTGCAAGGCAAAGGTCTCGTATACTGCACTATGAAGTTTCTCAATAGACACTACCATGCACTTGAAAAAAATCTTTCAAAAATCACCAAAAATACAATTTACAAATCAATTCCAAAATGTATACAAGTCAACTATACCTACATATTAACCATATATACATGTTTGATAGCAATTGGCTGAATATTATTGGAGTTATTGTGCCAATAAGTTTATGACAACGCAGGACAGACATTTTGCCACTACTATGACCTCCAATGATTTCATTACAGGCAAGCCAAAAAGTTATGACACTTAACAAGTCATTGAGAATGTCATAGCTCACTCTCTTCTTGTACATGATAAATGAAATGTCAGCATTTATAATTCTCCTTTTTGATCAAGTACATGTATCAGTTCTACCCTGAACTAATAACTTAGACTGCCAGATAATTTAACATGTGTGAATTTCGAATGTTTATGTTGGCATAAAACATAATCACAATTCCAATTATAGTGCATTGTGGGATAGTTAAATCAGATTGCGAGTGGTGTGGGTGTAGTTATGTTTGATTCGGTCATAACTATCACACAATACACTACGATTTGGAATTGCAATATGGTCTATGGCTGCAAGTCAACAATCTTTAATTGGTTTTAAACATAATTAACTTAATCAATTAAAACAGAATTCTCTGTGAACCAAGTTTGAACGTAATTGGACAGTGTGAATTTGCAATATACCTCTCGGTAAGCAGAATTGTGCAAAAAAAAAAAAGGTTTGGACGTAATTGGACAGTGTGAATTTGCAATATACCCTTGGTAAGCAGAATTGTGCAAAAAAAAGGTTTGGATGTAATTGGACAGTGTGAATTTGCAATATACCCCCGGTAAACAGAATTGTACAAAAAAAAAGACAAAAATTGCTGATCTTCGGGTCAGCCATATTGCAAAGAATCTCAACAAAAATCAACTTGCATCTTCATGAAATGATATACTGCTTTGTACCAAATCTGAATAAACTTGGCAAGTTGTAATCAAAAAAACTTGTAAAAATGGATGTGCCTCAGTAAGCAAATATGTTACCATATTCTAAATTTGAGCAGAATCGACCAGCACAGCTTGGAGATAATGCTCTACACATATAAAATGTTAACTTTTTTAAGGCTATTTTTAGGTCAAATATGGCCACCAGTCGACCATTTTATTATTGGAACAGGAAAAAAATCTGGGGTATACATATACCATATGTATCAAGTTTGGGGGAAATCAATCCATGAACTTCTGAGTTAATGTGACGGATGAACAGAACCCAATCCATCCCCAGACTAAAACATTAATTATGCATGATTAGTACAATGGTGCTACCAAAAAATATTAAGTAATTTCAAAATGATTAACCACAACGATTAGTTGTGGTACTGCACAGTTCCCTTAGCACAGGCTAAGAGGTCTAAAACGTTCACAGTATATACCAATATAACAGTAAATTCTGCTGCTATGCATATAAGTGCTCAGTCACAGCTAGATTTTTTCGAACACTTTGTTAGTCTGTACTAATTGTCAGAAAACGCACTGTATTACAACAGTTTGCACAAGCATAAGCATGGTGTAAATATTGGCAAATTGTTTTCACTCTATGGATGATTCAGAATCCATCTTCATCCTTTTTGAACGTGGATAGAATGTGGTGGTTGTTGGTGATGGTACTCTGGTTTCATGGATGGTTTCATCATGATAATTTAGTGTGTATGGTTTCACGATTTCCCACACCTGGTTATAATACAAGAAAAATATGGTTAGTATCTGGCTAGTGAGCAAAGTTAAACTATAGTGCTCCTGTGTGAGGAGAATTGTGATAATCAATATGGCGAGTATACGTTGTGTAAGGCATAGATGAGAGATCACTCACTTTTTCCTCTCGAAGTAATTTTGTTACTGCTTCAATATCAGGAGCCATGTACCTATCTTTGTCCCAGGATCTGCAGATAGATAATCAGTGTTTTATTTTTCAAAATATCCACCAAGAAGATAAAACAGAACATGGCACTATTGAATAACAATTAGTATTTTTTAACCATGATCCAGTCTATAAACAAATTAATGCAATGTACTTACTTTACAACTGAACGCACCAGCTGATGTACTGCTTCTAAAGGCTTAGTTGTTTTTAGGGGCCTTAGAAATTCTATACCTTGGCAAGCAGCCAGTAATTCAATGCCAACAACTGTTTGATAAACAAAAACAAGGAAAAAGTATATAATCAATAAAATTCAGTTCTAGTAGTTTTCAACTATGCAACTGTCATGCACAAGTACTTGTTCTGACCAACAGTTTGCATATCACTGATTCAATCACAGATGTGAACTCTCATATACGTTATCTTGCAAGAGTATATAGAATTCATATTCTACATGAGTACTACCGTTAGTTCTGGCTAATATAGCACTGACTCAATCACAGATGCCACCACGGTTGCATACCTCTATCTCCACTACACGCCATCACGGTTGCATACCTCTATCTCCACCACACACCACCACGGTTCCACACCTCTATCTCCACCACATGCCACCACGGTTGCATACCTTTATCTCCACCACACACCACCACTGTTGCATACCTCTATTTCCACCACTTGCCACCATGGTTGCATACCTCTATTTCCACCACACACCACCACGGCTGCATACCTTTATCTCCACCACACGCCACCACAGTTGCATACCTCTATCTCCACCACACACCACCACGGTTGCATACCTTTATCTCCACCACACACCACCACGGTTGCATACCTCTATTTCCACCACACACCACCACGGTTGCATACCTCTATCTCCACCACGGTTGCATACCTCTATTTCCACCACACACCACCACGGTTGCATACCTCTATTTCCACCACATGCCACCACGGTTGCATACCTCTATTTCCACCACATGCCACCACGGTTGCATACCTCTATTTCCACCACACACCACTACGGTTGCATACCTTTATCTCCACCACATCCCACCACGTTTGCATACCTCTATTCCCACCACACACCACCACGGTTGCATACCTCTATTTCCACCACACGCCACCACGGTTGCATACCTCTATTTCCACCACATGCCACCATGGTTGCATACCTTTATCTCCACCACACACCACCACTGTTGCATACCTCTATTTCCACCACTTGCCACCATGGTTGCATACCTCTATTTCCACCACACACCACCACGGTTGCATACCTTTATCTCCACCACACGCCACCACAGTTGCATACCTCTATCTCCACCACACACCACCACGGTTGCATACCTTTATCTCCACCACACGCCACCACGATTGCATACCTCTATTTCCACCACACGCCACCACGGTTGCATACCTTTATTTCCACCACACCCCACCACGGTTGCATACCTCTATTTCCACCACATGCCACCACGCTTACATACCTCTATCTCCACCACGGTTGCACACCTTTATCTCCACCACACGCCACCACGGTTACATACCTCTATTTCCACCACACACCACCACGGTTGCATACCTTTATCTCCACCACATCCCACCACGTTTGCATACCTCTATCTCCACCACACACCACCACGGTTCCACACCTCTATTTCCACCACATGCCACCACGGTTGCATACCTCTATTTCCACCACATGCCACCATGGTTGCATACCTCTATCTCCACCACATACCACCACGGTTGCATACCTCTATTCCCACCACACGCCACCACGGTTGCACACCTTTATCTCCACCACACGCCACCACGGTTACATACCTCCATTTCCACCACACACCACCACGGTTGCATACCTTTATCTCCACCACATCCCACCACGTTTGCATACCTCTATTTCCACCACACACCACCATGGTTGCATACCTCTATTTCCACCACATGCCACCACGATTGCATACCTCTATTTCCACCACACGCCACCACGGTTGCGTACCTCTATTCCCACCACATGCCACCACGATTGCATACCTCTATTTCCACCACATGCCACCACGCTTACGTACCTCTATCTTCACCACGGTTGCATACCTCTATTTCCACCACACACCACCACGGTTGCATACCTCTATTTCCACCACATGCCACCACGGTTGCATACCTCTATTTCCACCACACACCACCACGGTTGCACACCTTTATCTCCACCACACCCCACCATGGTTGCATACCTCTATTCCCACCACATGCCACCACGGTTGCATACCTCTATTTCCACCACACGCCACCACGGTTGCACACCTCTATTTCCACCACATCCCACTACAGTTGCATACCTCTATTTCCACCACATCCCACCACGGTTGCATACCTCTATTTCCACCACATGCCACCACGGTTGCATACCTCTATCTCCACCACATGCCACCACAGTTGCATACCTCTATTCCCACCACATGCCACCACGGTTACATACCTCTATTTCCACCACATCCCACTACAGTTGCATACCTCTATTCCCACCACATCCCACCACAGTTGCATACCTCTATTCCCACCACGGTTGCATACCTCTATCTCCACCACATCCCACCACGGTTGCATACCTCTATTTCCACCACATCCCACTACAGTTGCATACCTCTATTTCCACCACATGCCACCACGGTTACATACCTCTATCTCCACCACATCCCACCACGGTTGCATACCTATATCTCCACCATACACCACCACAGTTACATACCTCTATTTCCACCACATCCCACCACGTTTGCATACCTCTATTTCCACTACATGCCACCACGGTTGCATACCTCTCTTTCCACCAC